AGTCCTTCCATGACCCACCAAAACCAGACTCATAGGCACCCACATTGAATTTCCAAGGGTGTAAATCTTCATGGAAGCACACTGCGCCATCTTTCTTCCACAGTGCGGCTGGTAGGTTTGAACCAGCACCTTTTGCTTAGCAGCCAAATGCCTTAACCACTGCACCACCAGAGCTCCAACAACCCACAAGAACCCCCTTTTCTATAGATGGTGAAAGCTCTATTCTCTAGGACTCTTGTTTGTCTCCACTGTCCTTGAACTTTAAGCCCTAGCAATACTGTGAGGTAGAGGGTAGAGCAGGGGCTTGTCTGTGAGTTCCTCCCGGACCCCAGAGTGTGTGTCCATGGGGTGGGCTGTGTGTGTGGAAACAGCCTCAGAGTAAGGTGACAAAGATGAGGCAGATGGTGGTGCTCATGTTGTTGGGAATTTGTCACTGAAGTGAGAGAGAAAAGGGACAACCATTCAATGAAAGTTTTAGAGGATAGGAGAAACTTAAACATGTTTCCAGGGTGAAAATAAGCGATGGAGATTTTGAAACTGCATGATATGGGTTAATGGATTACTGGAAGCCCCAGTGGAAAAAATGGTAGCAGGGAGGTTTGCAGAACCTGATGTTAACTTTGGAAATGATGGTGTTTTTCAGGTAAGAAGTAGAAGTGAATTAGTATAGCAGTAAGAAGGGGACAGTCCTTCATATTTTCTGCTGTAGTACAAAAATACCACCAGTCGTTGACTTGAGATAACAGAAATGTATTATCTCATAGCTTTGGAGGCTAGTGTCCAAATCAGGACATGAGCTGTAGGGGAGGGTCCTTCCTTGCTTGCCTCCAATGTCTTGGCATTCATTCCTTGGCTTGTGGCGGGTTCCTTACCTGGTCCCCTGCCCCACCTGTATGTGTCTCTCTTTCTCGATGTCTGTTTTTCCTTTGTCTTTTCATAAGACATCACGCACAAGGGATTAGGATTTTAGGACCCACTGTACTTCTGCAAGGAGCTCTCTGGTGGCCTAGTGCCTAAGGCACTTGACTGCTAGCCAAAAGGCTGGCAGTTCAAACCCACCAGCCACTCCTTGGAAGGAAGGTTGGGCAATCTACTTCCGTAGTGATACCACCTTGCGTACCCAAAAAGGGGTCGCTAAGAGTCGGATCTGACTCGATGGCAGTGAGTTTGTTTACAATTATTATTTTTTTTGGTACTCCTGTATGGCCTCACTTCTATTTCTTAACAAGGTCATGTGTACAGGTAGGGGGTTAGGACCACCCAGTTCAATCTCTAATTAAACCACAAACCAAACCCACTGCCATCGAGTTGATTCTCTCTCACAGCGACCCCCACTGGGTTTCCAAGGTGCTAAATCTTTACAGAAGTAGATCACCCAGTCTTGCTTCTATGGAGTGGCTGGTGGGTTTGAACCACCAACCTTCTGGTTAGCAGTCAGATGCCTTAGACACTATGCTACTAGAGCTCCTTCAATCCCTAATAGCCTCCTTTTATTCTGTTAAATAGAAGACAGGGTAAGAGTTAGATAGGGAAACTAGCTGTATTTCCATCTGGTATTTAAGGATTTTAGTAATTGGTTTGAATAAGAAACAGTGTATGGAATGTTGGCTTTGTTCAGCCAGTTCAGGATTTGGGGCTGTGTCTCAGAAAAGGACAAACGCAGAACTAAGATTCTGACTATACCCAGAGGGCCAGGGCCAGGGCCCCCTGTTGCCCTTTGGGAGAGGCCTGAGAAGTTCATGTCACATGTTGTTCAAAGGCCAGCCACCACTCTGCCTTATCCAGGTCTTAAAACACCATTTTTCTTGGTGATATGACAGAGGGGCTGGGGTGTGGGGGCCCCATGTGGGGGCCACTGGGATCCAGGATCTTCCTAGCTTCAATCTGAGTGACGTGATCAGCATACACACTGGAGGTTTTGGAACATGCAGGCTTAGCTGGGTACTAATAAATAATGAACATGCTGCATTTTCTGGCCGTCTGAAGGAAGATTGGGCGATCTACTTCCGTAGTGATACTGCCTCGGAAACCCATGGAGGGTTCTGTGAGTCGGATCTGAGTCCATTCCAGTGGGTTTCGGTTCTGGTTTGGCTCATTTTCTCACTGGGCTCCTGCACAGTGACATCTTCAAGTCCATTCTGCAGTTGACTGCAGTGTCCTAGGGTTGTGATCACATATTAGAATCTTGGTGGTTTAAAACACCAGACATTTCTTCTCTCACAGTCCTGGAGGCTGGAAGTCTGGAATCAGGGTGTTAGCTGTATCCCTGTGCTCCCTCTGGGGATCCGTCTCTGCCTTTTCCAGTTTCTTTGCCTTGTAGACGTATCACCCTCATCTCTGCTTTCATCTTTGCATGGCGCCCTCCTCTGTATATGCGTGTTTCTGGGTGTCCTCTCTCTTAAAAGGATACCAGTCATTAGGTCTTGGGCCCACCCTAATCCAGTAGGAGCCCATAGGTGGTGCAGATGAGTAAGCACTCAGCTGCTAACTGAAAGGTTGGCAGTTCAAATCCACCCCGACACACTTGGAGAGAATGGCCAGGTGATCAGCGTTGGAAAGCTCGCAGCCACTGAAACATGTGAGGTCATAAATCAACTTGATGGCAACATTTTCCCCTAATCCAGTGTGACCTCATCTCAACTTGATCATATCTGCCAAGACCCTATTACCAAATAAGGTCACATACCTAGGTACCAGGGGTTAAGATTTATCCTTTTTTTTTTTTTTTTTTTGCAGGGTTTGGGGTTCAATTTAGCCCCTAACTTTCTGCTTTATTGGATGAATATAAAAGAAGCCAATTCCCCTAAGAAAACCAAAAAACTAAACCCATTGCCGTTGTCATAGTGACCCTGTAAGGACAGAGTACGATTGCCCCTAAACCCATTGCCGTTGTCATAGTGACCCT